GGTGTCACCCAGGGACTCTTGTTTGTGCCATGAGTACCACCAACTGATGAATAGGGCATGGAGAATGGGACTGGAGTCTTAGAATCAAAAGTCCTGCCCTTGATTCTTGGGTTCTCTACTTACCAAATACAGAACATGGAGCAAGTCACTTCCCCCTAATGAAGGCTCAGTTTCCTCATTTGTAAAATGGAAACAATACTTACATAGCTAGGTTCCAGTGAGAATTAACAATTAATTTGTGAGATTCAATATAAGGATATGTGTTTCCTACACGCAGGTTGCCAGGTTTAGAACAGGTGCTTCCCCGGAAAGCCACCAAGTTGACAGAGGCAGTATAAAATCTACCCAACCCTCTTGGTGAAGTGGTTGGTAGTTGTCAACAATTTTCTTTTTCCCTGTTGAAAATTAAGCTGTATTCCCCAGGCAAGTCATTACATCTTTGTGTGCCAAATTGTTTTCATCTTTTAAATGACCCAGTAATCCCACTTTGGGCAATATACATAAGGGAATAATCCAAAAGGGGGAAAAAAAAGGCAATTTGTTCAGAGATGTTACTCATAGTGCTATTTCTAGCTCTTTATACATCCCTCTATTATACCACTTACCTCACTGTGCTGTAATTATCCGCTCCCCTTCCGTGCGCCTCCAAATTATCTTTGAATCAATCCCCAGCACCTATCACAATGCCTGGCATACAGTAAGAACTCAATAAATGTTTGTTGACTAAATGAATGGGTAATATGAAGAAAATTTTAAAGAAACTCAAATGAGCAAAAACGAAACATTGTTTTGAAGAGATGATGTTAAAGACTTTTTTTAAAAAAAAAAAACTGATGACTATACCCAGCAAACTGTTAGAAAAGGAGTGTGTAAAGAAGCCCCCAGGGTGAATTTTAGATGATTTAGTTTTAAGGTCTCTGTGTTCCTCTGGGGCTAGGCTGACATGGGCAGTAGGGCACAGTCAGCAATCTCAAATTTCCAGTCTGACTCAGCCACTACATTGCTGCGGGACTTTGACTAAATCACCCAACTTCTCTGAGACCAGTTTCTCTGCTGAAAAATAGAGTATTTGCAGCAAAGGCCAGCCCACCAAAATAAATTTTCAGGCAAACAAGGGCCTGAAAGTGTGAACTGAAACGTGAATGGAAGAAGAGAGTGGAGAGGTGCCCTTGGATGAAGGTGGGGCTCCCCCAGTGCGCCTCCAGACCCATCTCACATGGTGGTTGAAGGGACCTCACCAGGGAATTTAGAGGAGGCAGAAATCTCTGCAAGAACAGACAACACATCAAGAAAAAATAAATACGTTAAATATGGCCCATAAAGTCAACATCACTCTGAATGTTCCCTATCTTCGGTGGGAAAGAATGCTTTATAAAAATATCCAGGGAGACCAAAGGGAGCGGCCTGTTCTGTGGGGCTTATTTTGGGGCGTTCCAGCAGCTCTGGGCCAGGAAGTCAGAGGCAGGAAGCCACTGCCCTCCGTTCCCTGGCCAGAAGCTCAGGGTTAGAAACCAAAGAGGGGAGCACACACACTCCTTCGTCCTGGAGCCCCCGCTGCGTGTCTGTGCAGCCACCACAGCACATGCTTTCATCTCCCTTGGGATCGCCCAGATTCCTGCCCATTTAGCATCACACTTCTCCAAAAAAAATCTTGCTTGATGGCCTGTGGACAATCCCTCCAAAACATGAGCGGAATCCACTTGCTTCTCTCCAGCCCCACCCTGAGTGCCCTAATCAAATCTACCATCATCTTCCCACCTGGACGGCTGCAGGGGTCTCCTCCCACCTGACCTTCCTGCTTCTGCTCTTACCCACCTTGCGACCCACAACTCCCCCCAGACCTGCCAGGATATCACACTCCTGCCAGCCAAAATCCAGCACCTTAGTCCTGAGCAACATGCACTCTGAAACCAGACTGCCTGGGTTCAAATCCCAGCTCTACCCCTGACTGCGATTTTCAGCAAGTTACCTAACTTCTCAAGGTCTCAGGTTCTTACTCTTTTAGGCAGAAGTAAAAACAGTCCCTATTCACAGGCAGCTATAAAACCAAAAAGCCCATTGCTGTCGAGTTGACTCCCACTCATAGCGACCCTACAGGACAGGGAAGAACTGCCTCATAGAGTTTCCAAGGAGCGCCTGGTGGATTAGAACTGCCGACCTTTTGGTTAGCAGCCATAGCTCTTAACCACTATGCTACCAGGGTATCCAACAGGTAGCTATAGTGGTAACTAAATGATTTAGGTAAAGTGCTCAGCACCTAGTAAGCAATCAATTCATGTCAGTTCTCCTTATTAACAGTATTACTGTTCGTATTAGCCTTACCACTACTACCCTCTTAGGAGGAGCCCTGGTGGTGCAGTGGTTAAGTGCTTGGCTGCTAACTAAATGGTTAGTGGTTCGAACCTACCAGCCGCTCCGCAGGAGAAAGATGTAGCAGTCTGCTTCTGTAAAGATTTACAGCCTTCAGAACCCGATGGGGCAGTTCTACTCTGTGCTATAGGGTCACTATGAGTCAGAATCGACTCGACAGCAATGGGTTTGGTTTTTGGTTTAACCTCTTAGTACCTGATTCTACAACATCACAGCTGGAAAACTTCCCAAGTCTTCGTTCTTTAAGGGTGTCTCCTCCCATTCCTGATCAGGGCCGACAATTACCGCCCAGCACCGGTCTCCCAAAGAGGAGACAGGTTGAACACAGGTTCAAATTCTTGCCTTCCCATTGCTTCACAATAGCTTGAAGAGCTACTCCCACCCCCTCCTGCCCCTTCAGCGTTGAGAAGAACAAATGTAGGTCTCAGAGCAGTTTCTCTGCTCCATGACATCTGCCACCTAATGCCACGGTCAACCAAAGTGCCTCCCCAAAACACATCTCCACTGTCTTCCCTGCGTTGTAGAAAGGGGCCCTCAAGTTGACTGAAATTGAGCCAACTAAAAGGAGTAACACACAGTACGGCTGTGTTAACACCTGCGTTGACTGTAATAGGGCATGTGCTTGGTCTCTGGCAAATGCTGTAGTCCATCAGAGCAGGCTAAAGAAGCGTGTGTGTGTGCGTGTGTGTGTGTGTGTGTGTGTGTGTGTACGTGTGTGTGTATACGTGTGTGTGTGTGTGTGTACGTGTGTTTAAAGCTTGTTCAGAATCAGGGCTGACCTTCGAATGGGAATAACACTCCAGGATTCTTGCAGTTTCAACAACAGCAACAGAGGCTTCGATGGAAAGCCTGCTCGATTTCTTTCAAGGCTGATGCATCATTTTCATTACCACAGGTAAAACTGAAATAAAATACTCCACTACTCAGTTCCGCCTCTCGGACAAGCTCTCATCTTCTTTCGGGGAAGAAAGAGATACAGGCAGCAAAGCGAATCAGAAGGCAGCAGCTCAGAATCAAAGTGAACTAAAAGGTAAGCAGAAATCAAAGAGGGGAAGAAAGAAAAGAGCAACACTTTTAAAACCACAAATTCTGGCATCTGAGCCCGTGTGACTTGATGGAAAAGAGGTGTGAACTGGGAGAACGAGGTTCTAGTCCTCGATTTCTCACCAGCTAGGAAAGTGTGAGCAAATCGGGCATCTCTGAGCTCCAGATTCCTCTCTGCCCTGCCTGAAGAGGCAGCTTACAGCGAGTGGAAGGAGGAATGGGCTGAAAGTGAGGAGACCCAGGTTCTAACCCTAACTTCTTACATCTAATTAGCTCCATGTCTTCCGGGCAAGTGAGCTACGATGCCCTCTGGGCCACCACTTCCCATCATCATTCTATAAAATAAAACAACTGGACTGAATAATCTCTAAGACACCCTCCAACTAAGACAGTCCTTCAAATCTACACAACGCGTTTATCTATACAATCTATATTCCAAACTGGAGATGCTGCGCAAATATCATCCACCAACATTCTGCTTATTTGCAAGTCCAGCCATAATTCTGTCTTTCCAGCTAAAACCATTCCTCTCCAGGTGTCTGTCCACAAATGTCCCCTTTTGGCTTGTTGCTTTAGACCAAAACGATCAGACAGAGGGCAACAGTCCCAAATTATCTCTCCACCCAACTCGAGCCAGGATTCAGGTAGAGGGAAATATCTGCCTAATTTATTTACATACAAACAGAATTTTTCCTCAGGCAGAGTTTGTCTCTAAACCACACTGTGAGAAGCAGTCCTCTGGGAAAGCAGCTGTCCACACCCCACACTAAAGCGGTCAGCACTCCCAGAGAAATGTCCCATCATTGTGCAAGTGAGCCAGCCCACAGGGCTGAGGGCCCCAGGTCTGGGAGCAGAAATGCCATTCACTCTGGCAATAATGATGTACTCACGCAACCTCAGGCCCCCACGGGCAGCTGGCTCTCCGCTCTCCCTCACTCCCTCTCACACGCCCTCCGTCCCACTGCACAGGGCACTGCAAGGAGGTGGTCCCGAAGCCCAAGGCGAGCAGAACTGAGATATGCTCTCCTCAGCTTTGCAACCAAGGGGCAAAGGAAGGAGGGGGAGGGGCGGGGCAGGGGGGGGCGACTTTGTTTCTGGAAACAGGAATTCAAATCCTGCTTCTTCTAAACCCTGAGTCACCTCCTCTTCTTCCAATAGATCAGTGTGGTGGGTAAACATTCCCAAATATGGAGACGCAGCCTGGAGGATGTCAGAAAAATCACCCTTCTCTCCTCTGGCACTTGAATAACATGCCCCACTTAAGATAGAATTCCTTACTCGGTGTAAATTATTAACCCCAAAAGATGTGGAGTCTCAACTGTTCCATACAGTGTCCTATTCCAGGGGAAATGCTCCTTCATCCAAACAAGGAAAGTTTGAAAGGCCTTAAGTTCACCTCAGGAATGGGTCCATCTGGAATGCAACTATGTTTATGAAATGAATCTATTAATTTGAGGGAGGGGAGGTATTTGGGGGGATGCACCTGAGGAGGTCACCAAGGGTCTAGTCTGCAGTTCCTTGGGTGGTAGATGAGTCAAAAACAACCCCGACCCTTGAACCCCCGCCCCTGATTACAGGTGGGCTGCCTTGCACTGAGAATCCTTCTGGGAACTTAATTTTACATGAGTTCTTCTCAGGACAGACACCAGGCACAAAGACCCAGAGTCAACCCAGACTGTTAAGTGAACATTGGGGGTGGGAGTTGGGGGAAGACCCAATTTAATCCGTAACATTAATTCTGGCCCCCAGATCCCGGGATGTGTTCGACGACTATGTGGAATGGTGAAGCCAATCAGGGGTGAACCTGGTCTGGAATGACTACAGGGAAAGAAAGATAGAGAGACGAGATGCTGGGGAAAGTGGAGGTGTGAAGAAGCAGGGTCTGCTCAGAGAAGGAATTCCAACCACCACACCTTGGCTTCCCAGTGGTTCTATTTCTTAGCGCCATATTGTTCCACTGCTGGGTTGAAAGGCTTACTGTAGGTCAGAGGAGCCCTTTTTCAGAATCATGGCCCACTTCATGGCTTTTGAATCTGCACCATGATGTTGCCTGTTCCCACCTCCAGGGACTCTTCAAGCAGGAAACAGCACTGATCAGGGAGTGAGGGACCCAAGCCCTAAGATCAGTCACTAGTTCAGATTTTAGACAAGCCAGCTCTCCTATCTTAGCCCCCATTTTCTCATCTACAGATTTGATAGATATTCCAAAATTGTCCAGCTGTGTGCTCTAAAAGCAATTCGGAAGTTGGCCTATCCAAACAGCCATCGCAGTTATTTTAATGACTTGTTTTATAGTTTCGCAAGCACTCCACAAGTGCGTGAAAAATAGCAAACATTTCTTATTTATTGCACATTTAATAAAGGAACACAAATGTAAGTGACTTTTAAAACAGGTGAGGAAACAGGATCAGAAACCCAGTGGTATGTCCTCTGCCACATGACCAAAAAAAAAAACCTACTGCCTTCAGGTTGATTCCGACTCATAGCGACCCTGTGGGGCAGAGTAGAAATGCCCCATAGGGTTTCCAAGGCTGCAATCTTTATGCAACCAGACTGCCACATCTTACTCCTGTGGAACGGCTGGTAGGCTCCAACTGTCGACCTTTCGGTTAGCAGCAGAGCACAGGGCAGTCAGTGGCAAAGCCAGAACTAGAACTAGAGCAGAGTTCTTGCCACTACAGCTCTCCAAGGGGGTCTCAGAGATAGACCTGAAGGGAGCAGAGGACGGCCCACACTTGTAACTTAGAAGACTAGACCAGCCATCAGACTTTGTGGTCCTTTCAACACCCTATTTAAGCAGCGGAAAGAAGGATGGCCTGGGAGCTTTGAGAGTTAACGGCCAGGAGGTGAGCCCCAGGGACAGGTATGACAATCAGAACGGGAAAGTCTAAAATCTACCATCTATTTTACAAACAGCATTTGGAGATCAGTTTCCACATCCACAAAGAGGCCCTTCATTTCCTTAATATATGTGTGTGTGTCTTCCTCTTTAAGGCTGAGAACCACTCACTCTGGGGTCTCAGGTTGAGAATGGACCATAAAGACCACTAAGCCCAAAGCCTGCCCCATCATGAATCCCTCATGGTATCCCTGAGGTCCCCAGTGATGCAGAAATCACTAGTTCCTACAGCTGCAAATTCCATCTTTCCAACAGAAAGTTCTTCCTTATAGGGAACCAAAATCTGGCTCCCTGGCCTTCAACCCCGAGCTCCCCATTCTGCCTCTTAAGACCCTACAAAAAACCTACTTCTGCCTTAGTGGTCTGGAATTCCTGTAGGTGAGCACGTATATAGAAACAAAGGCATCCAAGATCTCATCCCCCAGTCACCCTGGCTGCTTTCCTGACCATGTCACACTGCTGACTCCCAAGCATTTGTTGCCAACTTGAAACCCATCCTTTCGGGTTTTCCCCAACAAGTGCCAGTGCTAAACAACCCACTCTGCATACGCACAGCTGCTGGCCTCTGGGCTTACAGGATGTGTCCTACTAAATCCCAGACACTGAGCGACTCCAGAAGACAGACCATCCAAGGCTAGGTCTTCATCAGCCTCAACCCCACTGCCCTTCTCACATTCTCAAACCTACTGGCAAAGCTCAGGGCTGGAGATCCCATTTCCAACTCTCCATTCCTGCCCTCTGCTCCTGCTGGACCTAAAACTGTCTCCAGGATACAATGCTGTTCCAAGGGACATCAGGAGAGAGAGCTCTGTGAGAAAAGTGGGCCTTGCCAACACAGTCTCAGAATAATACAGCAGCTTGAAGGCAGGGCAGGAAGGTCAGCTGGCTAATCACAGCGCTGGGAGTTTGTGATCCTGGACAATGACAGCACCATTCTGGACTTCAGTCTCTTTACAAAAAAATAAGGAAAACATTCTTTTTTTCCAGAGTTCTGATGAAACTACTTGGACTTAAGGCTCATGTAGTCAAAACTATGAGATGTCACATTAGCAATATTCTTTACCGGGTAGTAAGAACTTTCCCAGAGTTCCCAGAGTTTCCCAGGGAAAATGGTTAATGTGCTCAGCTGCTAATCAAAAGGTCAGTGGTTTGAGTCCACCCAGAGGTGCCTCAGAACAAAGGCCTGGGGATCTACTTCTGAAAAATCGGCCAGTGGAACCTCTATGGAGTACAGTTCTACTCTGACACACATGGGGTCGCCATGAGTTGGAATCAACTCAACAGCAACTGGTAAATGCTTTCCCAGATGATTTCATTCAATCCCTACAGACATCAACCCTGGAAGTAACACTGTACCCAACTTAGTGAGAACAAAATTGAGGCTCGGAGAGTTAAGGATATTCCCAAGGTCACACCAACAGTAAATTGTAAAAAGAACACTGGTTTAGCATTTAAGCTACTTGAGATCCCAGTTCCAATTCAGCTTGGAACTAACTGACCTCTCACCAACAGTCTGCTGTTGTTGTTGGGTGCCATCGACTGGATTTCAACTCATAACGACCCCATGTGGCAGAGCAACACTGCCCCATAGAGTTTTCCCGGCTATAATCTTTACAAGAGCGGAGTGCCAAGTCTTCTTCCCCCGGAGCCACTGGGTGGGTTTGATACGCCAGTCTTTTCAGTTAGCAGCCAAGTGCTTAACCACTGGGCCACCAGGGCTCCTTCATCAATGGCTTACTCTCTCTAAACTTTAGTTCCTATGCCTGAAAGTTAGAGATTAAAACAGCCACTCTGCCTAGCTCTCAGAGCGGCTGTGAGGATCAGATGAGATGAGGCAGGCGAAAGCCCTCTGGAAAACAGTGAGGCATGATAGAAGTGTAAGGGATTATTGTGTGATTACTTGTAAATGACTGTGCATTCCATTACAAATACAAAAAGCGGTGAGGTCATCCTCCAGACAAAGAAACATGAAGGCTCTAGGAATTAAAGCAAAATGATTTGCTGTTCCGCAGGGTTATGTCTATATGCTGCTCACGTCTACGGTTCAGAGCTCGGCAGCAACTGTCAGATTTTCAACCTCCAAGTCACATATGTCTACAGGACAGCTTAAGACAAAATCTCCCTTTTCAGCCAAAAGCAAATGCTGGGCCAAACGGAGGTAACAGAGATGGACGTTCAGAAGACCCCCTGAGATTCTCCGTTCCAGAAACGTGGCCTGTGATATTTTCCTTGGAGAAGTTGCTAGAAACACAGGCTCCAGGCTCTCTGAAATAAGTCCACGGGGAAATAAACCTACAGTAAGCAGCCTATTTACTAGAGAGCACTAAGGAGGCTCCCAAGCATGAACTGATCAAGGGCACAGGGTACTTCAAGTTGTAAATACCAAAAAGAGTAATCCCCAAGCCATTAAGCCTCCCCGACTGGGCTGACAGAGGCTCAGTGTGCAGTTCTGGATCCCAGACAGTGGGCAGCAGGCGGAGGGGGAGCAGATGAGGTCCGTTTACATACCAGAAGTCCTGCCACAGGTCACCTGGGAGCCAGAGGAAGCCACGCGGAGAAGCTCTGGGATTGCAGGCGCTGGTCCTCTGGTCTGGCTAGTTGTTGATGTCAGGATTCTCTTCAATTCCTACAAAGAGCCAGGTCATCCCTGTCATTTATGGAGGGGTTGGATCTTCCCCAGAAATGCATTCCCAAGGCTGATGAGCACACAGCTCAACAATGTTTTCTGGTTTTCATTTTTTTATTTGCTTCCTTGGGCATTAACATTTGAGAAAGGCACCAAATAAATCTGCTGCAGAGATGTTTGAGCACTAACTATGAGTATGTGCCTCGGTTCGCCGGGGATGCTACAGCAAAGGGCTAGGACATTAAACAAAACTTCAAAGAGCACAGAAGCCTAGTACAAGAAAGGAGCTGACTGTAACAAAGGCAGGATGTGCTAAGGTCTAGAGCTCAGTGGGATTCTTCACAAAGGGAGGGATGGACTTTTGGGCTCGGTATTAAGAGAGGGTGGGGAAGAGGAGAGGGTGCAAAGGGTATTCCAAACTAAGAGGTAGATGTGAACCCAGGCAATGAGGAGGTTTCATGCCCAGAGAAGAACAAGTTCTTGAGCCTTGCTGAGAGGGTGTGTAGGCCACTAGAGACAAGTGGTTGTTGTTAAGTACCGTTGAGTTAATTTCAACTCATAGCAACCCTATGTGACAGAGTAGAACTGCTCCATAGAGTTTTCTAGGTTGTAATATTTGCAAGAGCAGATTGCCAGGTCTTTCTCCCGGGCAATTCCAAGATGGGTGGAATTAAATGTAGGTAACATTAAAAGGGAGCCCTGGTGGCACAGTGGGTAAGAGCTCGGCTGCTAACCAAAAGGTCCACAGTTGGAATCCACCAGCCACTCCTTGGAAATCCTATGGAGCGGTTCTGCTCTGTCCTATAGGGTCACTATGAGTCGGAATCAACAACCCCGTGAGCTAGGCAGTCTCACTCCCACATTACAGATGAAGAAATGAAATTGTAAAGAAAAAGTAAAATGCACAAATACCAGAGATGGTAAGTGGAAGAGCCCAGGATTAACTCACAGGGCAAACTCACCCCCTTGCCATTCCAGACTATACTCCTCAATTTTAAGCTTCTGCTTTCCCACTGCCCAGACTTTCCTCCTCCCGTTCCTCCTCACATAACTGGTAAATCTAATAATCAGATGTAGCCAACATAACTATCTCCAGAAAAATGGACAAAATTCCTAATTTGCTTTTGGCTCCCCACCAGGCCCTTGGGCTCTGGAGCCTTGCCTGGGTTCTCAGCACAGTGCACCCATTAAACCAAAAAACCCGTGGCCGTCAAGTCGATTCCAACTCAGAGCGACACTATAGGACAGACTAGAACTGCCCCATAGAGTTTCCAAGGAGCACCCGGTGGATTCGAACTGCCAACCTCTTGGTTAGCAGCCATAGCACTTAACCACTATGCCACCAGGGTTTCCATGCACCCAGCAGACACTCAAAAATTAAATGTACTCAGTCTATGTCTTTGAAGGTTGGGGCATGGAGGTAGCACAATACTGGCTGTAATTTCAACTTTCTGCACAGAAATCGAACCAATCTCAGTGAAGGTCCAAAGGGGAGGCACAGCCAAGTTGAAGGATCAGGTCAAGGACCCTGTGGTTGGGGCAGCCTGAAGGTCCCGCAGCCACTAAGAGCTGCATGACCTGGAACCTGCAGGCAGGTGCTCAGAGACCTCGGAGGGAGCAGGGCAGGGACGAAGCAGTCAGGATATCTGCACATTTCCTTGGAAAAAGAAAAAAATTGTGTCCCACCAAGATGAGAACATGAGTTAAAGGAGGTGCTTCTAACAAAGCACCGCAGAGTGAAAGGCAGAGATGGATTACCCAATCAGCAAGGTACGCACATGCTTAGGGCATCAACAAAACAGGGGCACCAGTTGTCCAAAGCAAAGACTCGTAGATGCCAAGCAGACAGGACACAAGAAAAAGCAAGCACCACAATGGAAGGGAACTGGCAGGGCACTATATGAAACTGATACCAGCTCCAGTGCGTGAGAATGTGCTGGCTGGAAATAAAGTTCACGCAGGTCACGAGGGTGCCCACGCTCAAGGTTGTTTAAGCTGTGAGGTCCCTACCACTTCAACACCTTCACTGACATCTGTCTTCTATGGTCCTTTCCCATGTAACTGAAACTCCTTATCTCAGCAGTCTTTTGGGGGTATACTATTTCTTTCTAATAAACAAGAGAAAAGGTGGGCTGACAAGTCTAACTCTTGCTACATTCACCCATGTGCAACTGGATCCAACATGAAGAGTTACTGGGCAAGGATAGATTCTATTAATAGATAATAAGTCTCTGATTCATTTTGAGAGAACTGTCTTGTACATCCACATCTGCTGATCCAGCAACTCCCCCCAGGAAGGCCAGCAATGCTCTTTGCCATGATACCAACGTATGCTCTTGCACACGTCCTGGTAAACAACCAATGGGAACTCCAGTCCCAGATGACGCACAAAACCAAGGGAACTCGAATAAGTCAACTACTGCAATGAATTTAATCAAGTTATTTTTTAACTGTATAGCATTTACCTACAGTTATATCCTAAGTTTTCTAAACAATATTTATACCTTTAACTTTAAAATATGTTTTGCATACACACAGACTCAATCTAGCATACATTTAATGTAATACTGACATGGGTAATAATATAATACTAACATAGCAAGTGTCCAAAAAATATTGGAAATATTAATATTTATCTAACACAAAAAGTTTTAATTTATGTATCAAGTGAGTTTTGCTTTTTATTGTCTGTTTGGTGGGACAAAGTGCTTGATATTACTCTGTATATGCCAGTAAATGAGCTATTAGGCACATTAAGAGGATGCAAAATTCACTATCATGTAAAATATATTTCTATTTCTGCAACAATGAATGTGTTTCTAAGTTTGTCTTCCAAGAAAGCAACAAAGAGCATATCTCAGAACATTACATTTATATTTTATCAGAATATTTATGTACCTCTATGTAAGGAAATTGAACAACTCCTTGAGGAAATAAATGAATATTCAGATAATAAAAATTATATAAATGTATTTTATTTTCCATTTCCCTTCAGACTGACTTCTTTTAAGAAACTGACTGATATTGTTATGACCTGAAAAACAAACTCGCTCGTCAAGAAGTGGTGCTGTTGTTACATCAATTACATACATAATACGGGAGTTGAACAATTCCACGAAGAAATAAAACACACATTTTGTAAATTTTGTATACGATAACAATCATATTTTCCTTTTCATTTTGGACCAACTGGGTATAACCTCACATTCAGTTCTCACTCAATGACCACATAAGAACTCGCCAGCGGCGCTATAATCACATGACTCATGACGTATCGGGTCCCGTCCTGCGCAAAGTGAACCAAAACGCATCTTCATATTTGTATTTGTATCATACTCTTTGCGATCACTCTCGCCCCGGTCCGGTATCAGCAGTAGTCCAATGACGCAGCATCAGGGGACGGAACGTGAGTTTGCAAGTTTTTAAGTATTATTTCAAGATGAAAAACACCCATGGAGAGCTGCGAAGGGCCTGTCAACAAACGTCGTACGACAAAGGAATGAAATTATTTCCTACTGCCTTGTAAATACAATTTCTTTTGACTATCTCAGACCTAAAGAACAAAATTGCATGTTCCAAATCAATTCTTTTTACTTACTAATTTTCAAATATAAAATTTTGTGTTAACATCCAAATTCGAATGTAAATTTTATTTTATAAATTTTACTTGTTTTATAAATTTTATTTTCAATTATTCAAATTTATTTGTTATGGTAGAATAAAATTTAAAAAATGATATAATTTTATACCCATGTAAAATGAAACATCAACAACTAAGTGGAGGGCAAAATAGAAAGTTCAGAGAAGATAAAAAGAAAAGGATTAGTGAATCTCTAAAGACAATTCCAAAATTAACTTGCTATTTAAAACATAATGAATCAGAGGAGACTTCTGTTAAATGCTCAAGTTTAATGTGTGTAAATCATTATACTAGTACTGCTAGTGCTGAAATTACTAATAGCAATATGAATATAACAGAATTTGTTCCAAATTCTGCACCCATTCGTTTCTGTAGTAAAAAAAATTAATAATGGTGTAGAAAATGAAACTATTTTAGAATCTGAAATTGTCGCATCTGCAGACCCCATAAATAACAGAAATACAGATGCTGCTTTATGGAATAATTTTTCTTCTAATAATGTAAATTACTGGATCAAAAGAGGGCCAAGCGATTGTCAACATCACAATGGACCATTTGAAAATTCATGTTGAAAATTTCTGGATGGTAAACAAACAAGGTTATGAATCCAGATTATATCTCTAGGGTGCAAAGATAATGGAGAAAATTATAAGAGGGATTGGTTATTGTATTCTCCATCAGATGACTCTGTATATTGTTTTGTTCAAAAACTATTCAGTCTTAAATCATTTAATTCTTGATTTAGATGGATTTAGCAATTGATGCAACCTAAATATGACTGATAAACATGAAAACAGTTCAATTCCCAGAAATTACATATTTTCATATTTAAACCAAAGACATGGTTTTGGATTAACTCATTAACTGGAAACACAAATTAATGAAGAACGTCAGTATTGGAAAGCCATTTTGCAATGCATTGTTGCTGTCATTATAACAATGAAAGTGGACTATCTTTTCAAGGAAGAAATGAAGTGTTTGGATCCCCATAAAATGGAAATTTTTAGTGTTTAACTTGTTGATCAGTATGATCCATTTTTAGCAGGTTACATCTCAAAATATGGTAACACAGGAAAGGGCAACCCATCATATATGTATAAACCAACGTGTGAAGAATTAATAAACTTAATAAGTGATAAAGTTCAATCAACTATTTTCAGTGAAGTAAGTATAGTTTGATATTTCAGTTTGTCTGTAGATTCCACTCCTGAAATTTCTCATACAGATCAGCTAAGTATTGTTTTAAGATATGTATCTCCAACAGATGGAAAATCTGTCAAGTGGTTTATCATATTTACTAGCTTAAAAAGTCATACCGGTGAAGAAATTAAAATCAAGTACTTCATTATTTATGTGAAGTTTGCAAAATTGGTTTTTCTAAGTACAGAGGCCAGCCCTGTGACAATGCTGCCAATATGTCAGAGCGGTAGAAAGGCATGTAACAGAAAATCTGAGAACATAATGAATATGTCATGTACTGCATGTTCACTTAAACTTGTAGGACATAGTACAGTAGATTGTTGTCTGGAAGCTGTTGACTTTTTTTCTGCTGTTCAGTTACTCTGCACATTTTTTGCCGATGTGTACTCACTGATGGGCAATTCTTAAAACACATTAAGGCAATGACTGAGTATTAAAATGTCTTTCTAATACTCATTGGGAAATGCATGCTGTTGCAACAAGTGCAGTCCTGGAATGGTACACTCAGATTCTAGATGCCTTAGAAAATATTGCTGAAGACCAGACACAAAAAGGAGATACCAAAAGAGAAGCTGAAAATATTGCCAACAAAATGCAAACACTAGAGTATGTATTTATGTTGGTTATGTGGAGTAATATATTACAGCATTTGGACAAATCAAGTTCTCCAAGATTCAGACGTAAATTTAAAGATATGCACAGGTCTCTATGAGTCATTAGCAGGATATTTATATAATTTAAGAGAAGACTGAAAAATTTGAAAACACAACAAAACAAATACTGCCAAATACTGATTATAAAACAGTTCACCGTCGCAGAAGCATTAGAAAGAAACAAGTAAATGACAGATGTGCTCCAGAAGTACTGAGTGTCAGAGATCAATTTTGCATAACCACACTACACCATCATTTACACACTTGAATCCTGCATAAAAAGAAAGGCAAAAGTGTATGAAGTTCTTTCAAATAGATTTTCCTTCTAAAACAATGTGGATATACTTGATGAAGAATGCATGAAGGCATCCAAGAAATTAGTACTGGCTTATCCCGATGACTTAAACACAAACCTTTACAGAGAAGTATGACAATTGCATTCTTACATGAGAACTAAGTTTACAGATTCAGGAAAGACAAATTTTACTCATGTAGGATTCCATAGCAGAAGATAAAATACAATGCATATTTCCTAGTGTTGAAAATGCTTTACGCATATTCTTAACTTTAATGATCACAAACTGCACAACAGAACTCTCATTTTCATCCCTAAAGAAACTCAAAAACCTGCAGCATACAACAATGATTCAAGAAAGACTCGATTCATTATCCTTATTATGTATGGAAGCAGATGCTGTTCAGCAGCTTAACTGTGACAAAATCACTGAAGAATTTGCAAGAGCAAAGAATAGAAAGAAATGTTTTTAATTATAATATGTTAGAGATGAAAGATCTATCTAAAAATAAAATATACTAATTTGTTGTAATATTTGTTTTCTGATCATTAAATTTTCTTTCATGACATCCTTTCATTTCTTCATTTATAACTATAGCATTTATTACAAAACAAGCATCAAAACTGAAGTATGAGCCATTTAAAGTAAAATTAGTGAAAGTCAATTTTTGTTGTGGGAGATCAACAGATTTTTACATTGATTGCTGAAATAACTAAGTTCAGTGACTCATTTTCTTTGTTGTAAAACATGTGGAATATTCTTTTTATAGAAAATGTAGTATATAGTAAAAATCTTAGTACCCCATATCCACCAAAAATTTTATAATCCCGTTCATCTTATTCCGCTAAAACAGCATATGCCACTTTTGTGTTCAATCACTAATATTATAGTCGCATTTAAAAAGAAGTTATATCATGGACAGCTAAGATGCACACACATATATATGTGTGTGTGTATATATATATATATGTAACTCACTTATCCCATTTGAATGCATGAGTAAGCAGAGGAGGGGGTAGCACAGACTACCAATGCTTAGGGACCCTCACATGCCTTAACCCAGCCCTAGTGAAGGGAGCTCTGGGCTGGGGATGCTCAGCCCTGCAACACCTCACAATGTAACTTGTGCTAAGCCACTGTGTCTCTTGCCCTGAGTAAAAGGAGGGGTTGGGATAGCGTAGTAGTTTTCAAGCTCCCCCCCGACCCCCACCCCAGCAGCAGAAATTTTTCTTTAAACAAAACACTTTGCAGATGCTTAGCTAGTAAACAGACACACACAGAGCTGCCTGGCTGGACTCTAGAACTCCCCTTCCCTGCTCCACTTCTCACCCCCTTTTCACCACTTTTCATCTCTCTTGGCACCCTCCCCCACCCAAGCACCCCAACCCCAAGGCCATTCTTGGAGTGTCCCAGGCTCAAAGGAGCACAGCCCAAAAACCACCAGCCTGCCAGCTCTTCATAGTGCTTCCAAGCTCTGATTCTAGTAGCTTCCAAGATCTGAATTCCTCCCTAAAAAGTATCTCTGCATTGTTACCAGTGAGACAGGCAATGCATGGAGTAGCAAGGAAGAAAGAGTTCTCAAATTAGAAAACCTGGATTATAATCCACTTAGGACATCTGTGCTTTCCAGCAAGTTATTTAATCTCTCTAAACCTCATTTTCCTCATCTGTAAAATGGGGAATAATATCGTTATCTACATAATGAGTGCCCTTATGAGGACTACTTTAATACGTGTAAACTGCTTAGCAAAAAGGCTACAATAAATGTGGTGTATTATGATCACCCAATCCACAAATGTATCTAAATCCACAGACGGAAAAGCAGGTAGCACTGTACCCAGGGCAAAGAAGATGCTCATTAAGTGACAGAGGTCATTTTTTTCCTTCTTTGCTTCTCATTGTGGACATATTCAACCTGAACAAACAATATGAGAGCAAAAAAAGAGTTACTGGGAAAAACACATTTTGTGTACTCAATCCCCTACAGCTCATCTTTAAAAAAATCTTACAGCTTGTCTTTAGAACTTTTGAAAGTCATGGCCTTTGTAGGCTCCCCAGTACTTCAACCAAGAAGAAAAGTGAGTTGCAAATGCCCATTAGAGAAAACGCCACTGATCCAGGTTCAGGGGTATACGAGGAAGTGTTAAATGGCATCCCAGCTCCCGGCTTCCCCACTGGCCAGCTGTGTAGCCTGAGACATCCCATCTGCTCTCTAGGCCTCTATTACCTTATCTGTAAAATGAGGATGAGAACAATCGTGCCTTCCACCTCAACAAAATGCTGTGTGGAACAAAAGATTAATAGATGTGAACACTCTTGAAATAGCTTCGCAGCTCTATACCTATATAAAATATTATCACTTATCATAATGTTATAGATTGAATTGTGTCCCCCAAAAACGTGTCAATTTGACTAGGCCATGATTCCCAGTACTGTGTGATTGTCCACCATTTTGTCATGATTTTCCTATGTGTTGTAAATCCTATCTCTATGATGTTAATGAGGTAGGATTAGAGGAAGCTATGTTAATGAAGCAGGGCTCAATCTACAAGATTAGGTTGTGTCTTAAATCAATCTCTTTTGAGATATAGAAGAGAGCAGAGAGACAGGGGGACCTCATACCACCAAGAAACAAGAGCCAGGAAAATAGCACATCCTTTGGACCTGGGGTCTCTGTGCTGAGAAGCTCCTCAACCAGGGGAAGACTGATGACAAACCCTCCCACAGAGCCGAGAGAGAGAGAGAGAGCCTTCCCTTGGAGCTAGCACCCTGAGTTTGGACTTGTAGCCTACTAGACTGTGAGAGAATAAACTTCTCTATGTTAAAGCCATCCACTTGTGGTATTTCTGTTATAACAGCACTAGATAACTGAAACACATAACCTCCAGTAAGAAGTTGAACCACCACAAAAGATAAGTAAACACATACACAAAGCTTGGGAATCACCCAGTCAACAGGAAGGTTCCCTGTCTCTCGCCTGGGTTATCACCACAGGTTCCCTGCACATGCTGAACATGCTGCCAGGTGAAGACTTGTTTCTCAGTGGCTTTCCTCATCAGTGCTCTGAACTTCACAAAAGATAATGCCCAACTGCCCTTAGGGCCTCCAGGATGGGCTGCAACCCATCTTTCTAGTTCCTTCTCCCATTATACTGCTACATGAACCCCCATGCCCCCAATTTCACACAACACCAAGACCTGGCTCGTGCTTTTCCTCTGGTGTTGAGCCTCTAAGTCTGAATATGACATCCCCTTACAGGGACAATGGGGAAGTGAGCCCCTCGGGAGTGTTCTGTGATTGGGGTGTGGTCAATAGTGTCTTCACTGCTCCCCCCTTTCTCTAAAGATGGCCCCACCAATTTCCAGTCCAGAAACATCCAGATGGTTTTAAAAAGAAGAAGTACGTCTGCACTTCTTTGTATCTGGCAAAGCCTTCACATGCCCCAACTTTCTAAATGCTTCATATCAGATGGGTCCATGACACCTATTTTACAAATGAGGAAACTGGGGGCCTGTAATGTAGTCACAAGGCAGGTCAGTAGCTAAGCCAGTAGCCAAGGCCTTTGGCTGCAGGTCCAGCGCATGTCACACTCTTTGCCCCAGTAGCAAAGAACAATTTAAGCCCTGCTACAAAAGGTGGTGTAGTGGT